TTAAAATTAAAAAAAAAAAAAAAAAAAAAAAAAAAATTCAGTGTGCACATAAAGGGATAATTTAATAGGATGTTGCTGTGAGGGAAGGGGAGAGACAGTATATGTTCACTTCTAGTCAAGTGGAGCCTGACATTTATGCAACAAGTAAAATCACTGCCACTGTAAAAAGAAGTTAGCCCAATTATGACCATGCAGGGACAGAGAGAGTGCCTCAGACTGTCTCTAAGTCATCTTGGGTTTGAGAACAAACGTTTGTTTTAGACCCACAGAACCTTGGCCTGGACATCAGGAGATGTGTCCTATGTGTTTCTTTTTCTTCCTAAGAGTAGAGACAATAATTCATAGAGCTCTTCATATGTTCAAAGTCCTCATTTGACCTTTAGCAATATTAAAAAGTATAGGAAGAGCAAGTGTTAGGATCCCCACTTGGAAGGTGGGACAGTTGAGGCTCTGTGAGATTAAGCCACAGAATTAAGCAGAAATCACTTCTATCTTTTGTTTATATTCTTGACACCCAAGCCAAAACACACTGACTTTAATTAGAATTTGACCGAGCTAAATGTCAACCTGACCAGCATCTCACCCAATCCAAGAATTCTCACCACAGCATGCATAGCAGGTGGTTACCCATCTCTGCTTGAAGATTTATATAAACTCAAAAAAAAAAAACCAAAACAAACCCCCACCTACTTTCTGAGATAAACCATTCTGTCTTTAAGACCTATAAATGTTGGGGAGTTTTGGTGAGGTCAAAATAATAATCTCTCAGCAATAATCTATCCAACAGTGAATGGTTCCTTGCATGTTGAAGCAGGAGCAGAGCTTAGAAAGAATGCAGTGATGCCCCAGGTGTGTCCATCCACCTTGAGCTCACTGGTGAGTTCAGGGCTCTGCCAGCAGGCTGGTCATCTTACTCCACCATGCCACAACTCTGTTCACTGGAGCAACCCCAGTGAATCTACTCCCTCTTCCACTTCACAGTCTTGCAGATATGAGAAAACCACAGTCCAGGCTGCTTGACTTTCTTCCTTTTCAAATATAAGGTTCCCACTTCATTTCGCCATTGCTTATATGATGTAATTTCTTCACCCACTCAACAAATATTTCAAGAGCATCAACTTTGCTCTACACCATGCTAGTAGCTAAGCACAGAGTCGTGAGTGAGACAGATTTGTCATTGTTTTTGTGAAACTTCATGGGACAGTTTGGTAGGAAATACAGTCATTGAACAAATAAAATAACGCACAATGAATGAAACACCATAGCAAATAAGGTGAATGAAGGTTTATGCGCTAACAGGTGCATGGACATCCAGGGGTCATACTAGGGAAGGCACCTGATCTGTACTACCACCAACCATCCTTGGTGCTTGTTAAGGTCTGCATAAGTGCTGGCTTTTGTCCCTGTAAAGTCTGTGGTCTGGAAGAAGTCACATTAATCCAAATATTTATCCAAGACAGGCAGAAGTCATTTCCCTTTCCTTCTCCCTCTTTTCCCACACTAAACTTTTGCGGAGGCAAGCAAAGGCTGAGTTTGCTTTTGCACCAGATACACTGTGTTGCTGGCTTCTGGTAGTCTGTGGACACCTAAAATCCATATGCTTTAATGTCCAGTCAGGCCTGTTTAGTGCTTTTATTGGAAATGGAGCCACTCACATTCTTCTATTTCATCTTTTGGGTTTGGGTCCAAGATGTAACAATCTCTTCTTGTGTCTGTTTTTATTAACAAAGTTCTGCTTGCAAGATCTAGAAACATGGTCGGGTTATCTTGGTTCATGGATGTTTATTGGTAAGGACAAGAAGAGCTTCTGCAGGGTCTGGGGAGGGATTCCAGAGAGGGGACTACTGTTTGTACCCACGGAGGTGACCATAGCAGCTGTAAAATGGGAATGACACTTGGGCCCATCTGCTATGGAACTATTCTCCCTCCTCTACGTCTTCTCCCTTTTCTGTTCTTCCTCTTTTTTTTGGTACCAGGGTCGAACTCAGGATCTTGTACTTGCCAGTCAGGCGGCAGAACCACTGAGCCAAATCCCCAGCCCTCTTCCTCATTCTTTTGCCTGTGGGATCTTTCTGTTCATTGCTTCTCCTTGTTGCCTTTTCTCTGTGTCTTGCAGTTCTACATTATCTCATCAGCTGCGTTTTCCACTTCTGGACACCCAGAAGATCTAATTGAGTTAGCCCTCCTTATCAAGAATCTTGTGCTTGCATAGCCCAGACTATTTGTATCAGATACTGCTCCGATCTAATCAGTTGTGGACAGGACAGCAGCATGGTGTCGAAATACGTACACTCATGAAGCACAAAGAATCTCTCACAAGAAAGGTGTGGATGTGCAGGTCTCAGAGCACAGATTCTTTGACTCACCAAGCATGTTTGAGGGCTTGAACTAGCTCTTCAATCATATCAGGATTTCACTCCCTCAAGTACTTGTTTTACACTTTCTCGGTCTTGTCCCTTTGAGTCTTTGTTTCTGAACCAGCACCTCCCTCACAAAATGAGCTGTTTCACTTTTCCTCTTCATACGTGTACTGGCAGCAAGAAGCGTGACCCCAGCCACATGCCACTCAAAGCAGAGATTTATTGCTTTTAATCTAATTGATATAATGCCTGTTATAACAGGAATGTCTTAAACATCAACAAAGGTATTGTCCAAACTTGCAGTGGAACTGTGGCAGTCATTCAGTGTGTTGCCATGTACCTCTCTTCTAGTCTCTATCTATAGCTTTCGATAAGCAACCAGGGAGGGAGACTCAGAAGCTGGTCTCTGAAAAGGTAGAGACACATAGATCTGTGACCCTTATGGTCAGACATTCTGGCGTAATTTTTTTGTTTGGCAGAGCTTTATAGGAACTGTGGAATGAGAAGGCTGCCGCTCAACATGACACCTGAAAAGTGTTCATTGGCTACTCCCAACTATGAGCATGGAATCCAAGTATTTTCCCAGCTACTTGTAAGTGGAGTCAACTAGTGCTGGCTGCCATGAATTCTGAGCTTGGCTCTAGTCACTACGACATGAGCTGGGATCAGCAAAGAGGATCTCAAAGCATGAAATAAAAGCTTAGTAGTCCTCCTTGACTATAGATAGGTTCCCCAGTGGATGCTGAAACTGCATGCACTGCATGTAGAACATATTTTTCTTATCCATACATAGATATGATAGAGCTTTATTTATAAATGAGGCATAGTAAGAGATTAACAAGAATAACTAGCAGTCAAATGCAGCAATTATAATAGCATACTATAATAAAAGTGTTTCAATGAGGTCTCTCTTAAAATATTGTATTATATTATGCTCATTTTTTTCATCTCCTGGTGGTAATGTGAAATTATAACAATGCCCACGTGAAGAGATGAAGGGGGAAGTGATCCAGGAATTATGATCTAGCATTAGGTTATATCTGATCTAAGGTCTCCTCAAACACAAGTGCTGTGATACCACAGCAGTCCATCTGATAACCACAGTGGCTGCTAAGTGACTAACGGGAGGGTAGCACATACAGCATGAATATTCTAGGCAAAGAGATGATTCATGTCTGATGGGTGGTGATGGTGGTGGGCTGACGTGGGATTTCATCACATTACTCAATATTGAGCACAACTTACAATTTGCGATTTTTTTTTTTTTTTTTTTTTTTTTTTGCGATAGGGTCTCACTGTGTAGTTCAGGCTGGCTTTGGACTCACTACATAGCCCAGGTAAGCCTTGAACTCTTGGTAATCCTCCTGCCTCAGCTTCCTGAGTGAATTCACCACCGCGCCCAGCTCAATTTGTGATTTTTTTTTTTTTTTTTTTTTTTTTTGTACCGAGGACCAAACTCAGGACCTTGAGCTTGTGAGGCAGGCAGCGGAAGCACTGAGCCAAATCCCTGGCCCAATTTGTGAATTTTTAAAATGGACTTTTCTATTTAATATTCTTGAACATCAGTTGACAGTGGGTAACTGGGACTGCAGAAAATGAGAGGGAGCATGTGAGGGATGAGCATATTTGGCTGCGTGTTCACTATGCCCTTATTGTCTACTCTGTGATTTTCGAACTGTGGGGATTTGTTAGAAATGTGAAGTCTCAGCAACACCTCCAAGCTACAGAATCTGAAACTCAGGGTGGGACCCAACCATCTGTGTCTTAGCAAGCACTCCAGGTGGTTTTCATGCCTCCCAATTTGGAGACTCCTTGCCTTCGATCTGAGAAACCAAGGCCATTATTACTTTTTCACAAGTGACTGACAAGGTAAAGGGCAAGAGACGTACATTTTAAATTTACAATAATAAATGACACAACTTTGTGTATGAAAATGTTTATTTTATATTTTTATATTTTATATATACATTTCATATGTGTATGTGTACTTATGTATTACATATTGTATGCATAGACGTGAATATACCTTGTAAACTTACATGCAATTTAAAGATCTTGTTCTTTTGAGATTTTCTTTTCTACTTTGCATTCAGAACTAATTAATCAAGGGGCAAAGAAACAGTGGAAGTGTACCCAAAAAACAAAAACAGAAGAAGTCAAA